TCAATTAATATGGAAAAATCACAGTTTGATTCACACTTCTCGTGGGATAGACCCTTGCTCGCCATTACTGGTAGTTGGTAGAGGTTGGTTAAGCAAAAATATAAATTATAACTTTTCGTGTTGTGACGCGCGGTCACCTAGCCCGCCCAGGTAGTCTCCCTAATTGTTGTCTGATTGTTTGAGCGCCTAGAACGACTGTCTAAGCAAAAGTCGTAGTGCCTATGTACCACCTCAGCGGCGCCTAAGCCGACTTTTAATGCAATGATAATAATATATTCATGAGTAACATGTTATGTTTATATACACGAATTAGTTGATGTAAAAATATCATAAGTGTGCATGTACATTATATTTTTTATGCTTTGTTCGAGACAGTAATCGACCTAGTGACCCATGTTAGTTTGTATGCTAAAATTTCAACTTTATTTACAAACATTTCTTTTTAGTCCACTTTTGAATGAGACTCGTGTTTAGTCAAAAGTGTTTATTCTATTATTTTACATTGTAGATAATATGATTCGATTTGTTGAACAGAAGATCTTGTCATTGAATCCTTGTAAAATGTATAGTGAAATTGAAAAAACTATCGTGAAATGTTGTATTGTAATTTTGAATTAGTTTATCTTGGTTAAGAGCATTTACAATGCTTTGGGTTTACTCAAAAACATTTAAATGCCATGTAGGAAATATACGCAGTTTAAAAAAAAATATATTCCTCAATGCAAGTGCAAGTGGATTGGGTTCTGCTGATGTGGAAACAAGAAAATGATAAATGGTCTACCCTTAAATCTATTTTAGATCCAAGTAAAGACAAGGTCACTTTGCATTGGAGTGAATTGTGTTACTTTTAGATAGTTTTATCCATGTCATCAAAGACTTGTGTCTATTTACATGTCACGTAAGCAAAATTAGACCCAAAGCATTTTGAATGATCTAACGAATTACACTAGTACATCTCGTATGTATTGAATGGACCATGGAGGATAAGATTATTGTATACTAACCAAGTAAATAATCTAGATCTCAGTTATTGCTTGTACTATTAAGTTGTAAGTAAATGATGGTCGTGTGCATTTAATGTCGATTAATTTGATTCACCAAAATGTGGTATCCAATTGTTGGGTCTATAAACTAGGTGAATGGGTAATAATATTAAATGTATATTGTTCTATTGAGATAACATACAGTCAC